GGGGGCCGTCACGGTGAGAACATGTGAACACCACCGTTCTTTTTGTGGCGAAAAGATGCGACAAGGAGTCCATGTTCACCTCAGAATTGGCGGCCAGGAGTTCCAACAACGGTGGCAGGCTTGGATGAAGTTGGATGGTTAGGGTGCCCAGGATTCACTGAGGGACTAAATGCCACCCTGGCATGCTCTGAGAGGTCAGCTTCTCCTGAAAGCTGGTTGAGGCTGGAGCCCAACCACTTTCCAAGTGATAGTTGGGAGCCTCTTGTGATGGTTTTTGGATGTGTGGAGCTTAGCTCTCCTGAAACACCGCATGTGCGCTCCAATCCCCGATTCTCCACGAGGAGCTCCGGAACCCAGGTCCTTCGTGGTGGCGTTGATGAGCTCCGCCAAGCCGATGCAAACGCCCTCTCGGACATGCGCATCTCCTGGCAAACCGAAGTACAAGGGGTCTATATAGGTCTTCTTGAATGGTCGACCCTGTGCCAGAGTTGAGGTGAGGAGGAAGAAACGGACTCCTTCAACTTCAACGAAATTGCCATCGGTCACTGAACAAAGGATTCATGTCTTGAAGATGAAGCCAGCAATTCTGGTGTTTGAGCCCGCCTTTGGGATCCTTCTGCACCGTTCTTTCTTGGAACATTGACCACTCCAAAAATCAATCAACCTACCAATGTCAACACCAAGAGCAACAGCGTTGGAATCATTTCTTGCCCGTTTGTGCTTGCATGTGCTTGCAAGCACCACCGGGCATGTTTTCCACGGAATTGAGCTTCTACACCTGCGGCTCATGATCTGCCAAATGACTCGCCGCGGCTAAGCCGCATAAGCCTCTTCATGCCTCTCCCCCCGGGTCTCCGCACCGTTCGTCCGGCTCACCCAAACGCCCGCGGTCACCTTCGGAGAGGGTGTCCATGAAGATGGGCATCAGCTCGGGCATCACACGCTCGCCTAGTAGACCGAAGGGAGGAGAACCGACATGCCGGGACCCTCCCAATGGACTACCCCACATTACCTATATAGGCTTCCAGACAGGGCAATTCTTGGAGGGTCCTGGTATTCTAATTTTGTTTTACTTTTTTTTTGTGTGTGTGTGTGGTGTTAAGAAGCTCCGCAGAAGCCAATCGATCAACGGCAACTCATGTTACTCTTGTTGTAATTGTTTCAAAGCTCCGCCCCTTGTATACGAGCAATGCCTCCAAAAATGGTTCTCAGAACCGGGGACGCTCATGGGAAGACACCCCACCATACAGGCTGGAGGAACCAGATGGAACCAGCAAAACGGCTGACCCAGCTTTGGTCAATGATTCACCCTCAGCGTGAGAGATGCGTGTGCTTGGAGAGCCGTTCTCATTGTATTGCTCGTGGGTTGCCAAGTTCTTGGCGTGCGCTTGCTTCTTCAATGACCAGCCAACAGTGTAGTAGGTCAATAGCACGATACATGGAAATGGGTGCATGGCGTAACTGACTGCTTCACCAAAGAGGGCGAGCCCACACTTGGTCCAGTTCAAGAACGCATCCAACAACGAAACCGAGCGCAAGTATCCCGCCCAGGCAACACCATGAGTCCATGGGTGTATCTTGATGACCTTTCCATCAGTTGCCACTGCAAAGCCACATGCTGAACGACCCTTTGACTGCTCTTACCGCTCTCATTGTCTGACAATCTTGCGATCCAACTCTGACTCTGGTGATGGAAGACATCGATTGCAGCCCGGCTTTCATCACCAAACCGTGCTTTCATCTCTGACTCCGACACCACCCACCCGCCGCGCGCCTAACTTTCCCACGAGATCGCCCACACAGCGTGCAGCCACCCGCTGCTTCTCACGGTTGGTGGAGGCCAAGTTGGCCTGGATTCAGGGGTAAAGGACCGAGGCAAAGCCAATCTGCTTGGATTGTCCAGGAACCCGGGAAATAGACGAAACATACCCAGGGGATCCAGTCGTACCTTCTCAGAAGGTACGACTGGACCCTCCAAACCTACATAACAGTGTCTCCAATCACCTTCTCAGAAGGTACTTGGACCCCTAAGGATATTCCCCATGCCAGGGGATTTAACCGGAAAACAACACATCACCTGATACGCATTCCCCAGATCAGGAGGATTTTTGCAAGGAAACTGGTATGAGTGTGAGTCACGGTTGGTTCAAAACACACCGTGCCAAACAATGTCGAGAGCCTCAATCTGGGCGATACCCACTGCCAGATATGCAACTAAAAATCATTGGTCATACGCAGCAGCCATTCAATCTACACTCCCAAAAACTAACTTAGACCATCTTAGACCTTGACAATGGCCCCTAGGAAAATTGTTTTCCTCCACCAACCAGTGGTTTTCAGGGTCCATGTTAGTCTTCCAGGGTGTCGTTCCGCTACGTGAACCCTTTTGAACGTCCATTCCTGTGAGCTGCGCCGAGGGGCGATGAGGCGCGTCATCAGCGTGGGCAACAACTCTCGGAGCGTTCGAGGGGTGTTCTGCACCACGGCCTTCCACACCTGACCACAGGCCTGCTTTACCACGATGTTCCTCAGACAAATTCGCGTAAATCGCCGGTCCGGAAAAGGCGAAGAAAGAGTGCGGTTCGGTCCGGAGGCGCGAGGGTGAAGGAAAGGGGAGGCACAGGTGGTAGCCAAAGATGGGAAACAGTTCAATCATATATATGGCCTCCAACCTACTAGCGATGGCCTCCAACCTACTAGCGATGGCCTCCAACCTAAGAGCGATGGCCTCCAACCTACTAGCGATGGCCTCCAACCTAAGAGCGATGGCCTCCAACCTACTAGCGATAGCCTGCAACATAGTAGCGATGGCCTCCAAACTAAGAGCGATGGCCTCCCTCTCTCTCGCTCTCTTTCTCTGCATGGTTTCGGTCTGTTCATGATTCATCTTCTACTTCATGATGGCTGTATGAAACAGTTTACGCATGTTAAACGGTCAAACCAGCCACCAAAACAGTCAGTCAAGGCTGAAATCTTGGCGTTTTTTGATAACCTGCATTGTTATTTGGAAGCAGCATATCACGCACCTCTCGAAAAACTTGAGGAGCACCAAACCCAAACGTAAGACTGAATGTGAGTCTCTCCAAACTCTTTCCCTTGGACTACTTACTTGGGCTCTCTCTCCAGCGAGCATCTCATCGCTTCGCACGATGTAGAGGGAGGCCAACATGTGGCAGCGCCACTCTCGTGGCAAAGCCTCGACCTGAAGGTGCCATCGGTGCCATCGTGCCGGGCCCAACAAAAACATCCCGCCGGGTGTGGAATCGCACGTGTAGTCGTGCAAATT